CGGACCCGTTGGGGCCGGCGGGGCGCGGGGACAGGCCGCCACGGGTACCACCGCGGGACCGTCGCTGGGCGGGCGGCAGGGGCCTCCCCGGGCGCATCGCCCCGCTCCGGGCTGGGCGCCCCAGGACTACCGGCGGTGGCAGAGCACCGGGAGAAGCCCCTGCGCCGCCAGCCCGGGGCGGGCGGGAGTGGGGCAAACGCTTGCCAGCAGGGCTGGGGTCTGGGGGCGCTTTGCGGGGAGATGAGCCAGCCGGGGTGGCCCAGAGCGGCGGGGGACAAAATCCCAGCTCGGCCCGGCTGTGGCAGGATCCCGGGAGAGCTGCCAGTGTCCTGGTGGGAACGGGACACGGCAAAAGGGCTCCTTTTCCCTTCTCCTGGCGGGACACCCGGCAGCTCCGTCTGCGGGAGCCGGGATGAGGGCAGAGACGGAGGCTCCTCGCAGCCCCCGGGGCTGGCGGCAGCTCCTGGCCCGACCCCATCTGGCTGTACCAGCCTTCCCACGCGCTGCCCTGGGCACAGGCTCTTCTCTGTGCAAAAGAAAAGGTTTCCTGGCAGGTCCTCGCTCTTCCATCTCAGGGACAGTTTTTAAAGGGAGGCCTGGAGGGGCCCGCAGGTGCTGAGCAGGCAGCCCCCAGCCTGCGGGAACGTTTTGGTTAAAGACAAGCCCTGAGATGTGCAGTCAGGACTCCTGGGGATGGGCACAGGGCTGAGCGGGGCCAGGCGGGTGCGGGCACGGCCATGGTCTGGCTTAGGGGTGCTTTTGAGGTAATGCTGGCTCTGCAAGAGCCGCTGGCCCTATTTACCCAGCCTGTGCCTGATCCCTTAAGCCAGATAAGTGTCAGAGCTGCAGAGCGGTGCTAAGGTCCAAGCTCCAGCACAGAAGGTCTTGTGTCACCCCCCCTCCAAACTGCTCTTTGCCAAGGGCTGCCCTGGGGAGCCCGGCCGGGCCCCAGGAGGGTGTTATGGCTGCTCCGCTCACCCCCGCTGGCCCTAGCAGTGGGGAAGTGGGGCCTCCAGGCCGGGAGAGGTGGAGGCAGGTCCTACCCAGTGCAGGGAGCCAAGGCACAAGGCAGGAGCTGCCTGAGCCTCACAGGGGACAGGGCAGGGAGGGGAGAGGGACGTGGTGGCCACCAGTCCTTCCGCCTGGCACTGGCACCGTCCGTTTGGCCTGGCACGGCTCAGAGACAGGTCAGGAAAGCAAGAAGCAGGTTTTCCTCCCCGCTGTGCACCGTGGAGGAGCAGAGCAGGGAAGGCGGCATCACGTTCCTGCTCCAAACACATGCGGCTGCTGTGGTCCCTGCAGCAAACGGCGTGCGGGGAGAGCGGCGCTGCATTGCAGGTGGAGAGCCCTGCTCCTGCTAGGGGCTGTGTGCCCGGGGCTGGGGCTCAGACCTGCTGGGTCAGGGCACAGGAGCGAGGGGGTGGAAATGGAGCAGGTTTGCAGAATGCTGAAGGCTGGATGTTATTGTTTACCCCCTCCCAAGAGGGCTGTATTTTCGAGCTTTCTAAACAGCTGCAGGGCCACAGACATCAGGTCTTCACCGAGTGAGGGTGGTGAGGGAAAAGCAATGGGAGCTGTGAGACCTGCTGGCTGTGGGCAAGGGCACCAGGGCCTGGGGAGGGCTGGCCTGTCGCCGCTTAACCCAGGCTCACAAGTGTCCCCTTGAGCACAGAAAACACTGGCTGCGTCCTTGTTGTGGCCGGAGGCAGGAGCCAAGCTGGCCACGCTGCCAGAGGTGCAGCTGTGGCAGGGTCAGTGGGCTGGGGACAAACAGCAGGTCAGAGTGTGGAAAACAAGGACAGGGCTGGGGGAATAGACAGGCACCATCCGTGGGAAGGAGGGGGCTGAGCCAAGTCTGTAGGAGGGAATGAAATCGAGGTAGGGGATGTGACTGGGAAGCTCTAAAATGAGCTTCCTGGGAGGGTCTGTTTGGCTGGGAATGGTTTTGTGTCGTGGTGACACTTGAAAAGAGTCTGGATGGAGCCCCCGGGGGAGCCACAGCACCCCACTCTGGGGGGGAGAGTCAGCCCACCTGGGGATTTTGCTTATTTAGTCTTTAAGTTAAATAATGAGAGACATTGGCAACAGCCTTAAGAGATCTGAGCAGCTCGTTGGAGGCAGCACAGCTGGGGGGCACGGGCACCCCCGGGAGGACCCAAGGGCAGGATGTGCCCACTGCCAGGCAGGGTCCTACAGGAGGGATGGTGCCATGTTTGGACGGTGGCACTGGGGCTACCCACCAAAGCATCTTTACGCAGAGCCTGAGAGCCCCCCTCCCTGCAAAAATACCCCGCGTGCTCCGCTGCTTGCAGCACCCTGCACTGCTTGCCCCATGAGCACCCACGCCTCTGTCAAGGGGCTGCCATCAGCTGGGCACCCACGGAGCCCGTGACGCCAGGACAGGCACTGGGGGCCATGGTAAAGAGCAGTGGGGGGATGTGGGGCTGCTGCTCCTAGAGAGGGTTTGCCCAGTCAGTGGACAGGGGAATGATGCAGACCTCCCCCGATGAAGCACCTCCCGGCGCCAGGGCAGGGAGGGCAGTAGCTGCAGGCAGGACGGCAGCGCCGGCGGCAGCGACGCACCCCGCTCCTGGCAGCGGTCCACCTTCCGCTGAAGCGCTTCCAGCCTTTGCGGGCAGGAGCCAGGGGGGAGCAGTGCCTGTTGCTCGGCTGCGTGGCACTGGGAACAAAAGATGGTGCTGGAAGGGTCATCATTCAAAAAACAGTTCTGGGGACAAAAACCAAGGGGCCAAGACAGCCCTAGTAAGGCCAAGTGCAGTGTCGCCTTCATGCTGGTGGCAGAGGACACCGGGACACCCACAGTGGCCGCTGCCGAGCCCTCGGGGATGCAGCCAGGGCTGCAGGGACCGGCCACCTCCCCCACAGCTCCGCAGGGCACAGCACTGGGCATCCAGCACCTTCATCCCTGTGTCACCCTGCTGATCCTGGCACACCTCGGCTTAGTTCGGGTGCTCCAGGAAGGCTGCAGAGTCCCCGGGTTTGCTGGCTGTGACTCGGAGCTGTTCTTGGGGGGTGCAATCAGGTCAGGAGCTAAATCAGCACGGGCCCTGCAGCCAGGGACTGGAGTTTCTCAGGGTTTTGGACTCTCTGAACACCGCAGTGAAGGTATGGGGTGACCATAGCAGG